GTCGACCATTTCTATCCAAAATGAATTATATGTTTAAACTTTACTAATTTTTTTCTTTTTTGTCAACTGGAATAAATAACCGTCTCGCATTTACTCAGAAAATAAAAAGCCGGCTGAAACAAGAACAATTTAATTTCTATCAGGACCAAATAATACAAAAGTAATACACACAAAAAAATGTGTTCCTCATTTACGTCACTTAAGGAGACGACGCCTCCTCAAACATTTATTTCATCTAAGTACAGCATGTCTTTATCCATGGCAAATATTTACCTCCATAAATATTCAGGACTACTTATGATACATGATAATACATTTCATAGAACATACAGTACAGTAAAGGTGGGAAACATGGGAAATGGTTTCCAGAAGCTTTGATACAGCCACACCGAATGCAGAGTGACGCCTTTCAGGAGTTTGCAGTCGCTGAGACATAATTAATTCACTGCTAATTTCCCTAACAAACTGCTTACATCAGTGCAATGTTTTACATTTACCGTATAGGAAAATAAAAACAAAGGATGAGCAGATGTGCAGTGCAATTTACAGATCAATAACTACTTCATGTGCCTCTGCTGGTGAAAAAAATGTTCTGCAGTCGCATAATAAAATCAATCCCCTTTAAAACTGTTTTTTTTAATTTTATTTTATAATCCTCTCAAACTAAGACAATATAATATCTGAAGAAGCCAGTTTATGTTCAATCTGACTAGATTCTGTCTATAGAAGTATTGCTTGACTGTAAATCCAACTTCTGGTGTTGAGAAAAGAATTATAATTAAAGCAAACATTTCATCACAGCCATCAAACGAACACAATGAACGTGTGCTTCAGTCTCGTCCACAAATTACCCCAAAAAATACAATAAAAATAAAAAACACAGGGAAAAAAAACAAGAGGTGGGTGCAAAATTAAAACCAGGAAATAAAAAACAGCTTATTTAAAACCACATCATCACGACGGGACAAGACGAACCACAGATTTTTAAAATAAGGACCATTAAGTTACACATGTTCACAGCTTTATCAAGCTTAATACTGGAAAAGCCTCCAACTGGATCCCTGGGAAGCTCTCAGACGTCTGGCTGCAGATCAACATGGCGTCACCCGGGCAACACGCTTCTTTATGCTTCACTTCATTAGGAAATCATTTACTTTAATTTAATATTCTACCTTATATTACATCAATTCATGGAATTACACCAACAACCACAAGATGACACACTAATGTAAGGCCTGAAGTTCACAAGCATTCCACTTGTAGGGATTAATGGAAGAATATGGGGGGCGGGGGGACATCCATCACTGAGCACCGACAACAAATATATCCATTATTTATCACTTTTTCTTTTTTTTTCAATGATTGTTTTGGTTTTCCTTCACTTTTCTCGTGTTCAGCTTTGATTAGGAATGTTTATCCGATAAGAAACTCTAAACGCCGTGTGCTTCGCCTGAACGCAAATCAGCCTGATCAACCACAACGAAAAGATGTTCCTCAATGGCTTAACAGGGGCAATAAAACAAAGACATAATTCGCATAAAAAAAACTTGATGTGTTTAAAAAACAGCTCCTGCACCCGCCCTGAGAATGTGGAAATTATTTAACTTAAACTGAATCAAAACGGCGCCAAAACAATCGTTTTAATGAAACAGAAGCGACTAAATTATTGGTAAAGACGTCATTAAATACAGGATCTATTTATCAGAGCAGCACAATCTCACATTTTAGGAAAAATTTAACCTTCAACATGATTATAATTCTTTTGTACAGAGCCCCTGAAGGGACATGGAGGGAAAAAATAAACTTTTGCGAGACCTCGCAAAAAATAAACTTTTGTGAGATCCCGCAATACTTTTGCGAGATCTCGCAAAAAATAAACTTTTGTGAGATCCCGCAATACTTTTGCGAGATCTCACAAAACTATTGCGGGATCCTGCAAAAGTATTGCGGGATCTCGCAAAAGTATTGCGGGATCTCGCAAAAGTTTATTTGTTGCGAGATCTCGCAAAACTATTGCGGGATCTCCCAAAAGAATTGCCGGATCTCGCAAAAGTATTGCGGGATCTCGCAAAAGTATTGCAGGATCTCGCAAAACTATTGCGGGATCTCACAAAAGTATTGCGGGATCCTGCAAAAGTATTGCAGGATCTCGCAAAAGTATTGCGGGATCTCGCAAAAGTATTGCAGGATCTCGCAAAACTATTGCGGGATCTCACAAAAGTATTGCGGGATCCTGCAAAAGTATTGCAGGATCTCGCAAAAGTATTGCGGGATCTCGCAAAAGTTTATTTGATGCAAGATCTCGCAATACTTTTGCGAGATCCTGAAATAGTTTTGCGAGATCTCGCAAAACTATTGCAGGATCTCGCAAAACTACTGCGGGATCTCACAAAACTACTGCGGGATCCTGCAAAACTATTGCGGGATCTCGCAAAAGTTTATTTGTTGCGAGATCTCGCAAAACTATTGCGGGTTCCTGCAAAAGTATTGCGGGATCTCGCAAAAGTTCTTTTTTTCCCCTTCATGTCCCTTTAGGGGTTTCGTACTTTTGAGATTAAAATATTCTTTTCTCGTTTTTTCCAAAGCCCCCGTTTATTGACTTTAACTTGAATTCCTCCCTCCAAATTGTACAGAAGCATTTTGCATTCACCATAGAAAAAAATATCAGACAGATTATCTCATAATAACGAGATAATATCTCGTTATTATGAGATAATCTGTCTGATTATTTTTTCTTTGGTGAATCCAATACGCTTCAGTAAAACTTGCTTGTTTCCGTCTCCAAATAATCTCCAAATAATCTCCTCCTTTCCTCAGCTCGGATTTAGCAGATCTTGCAGCTTGTTTACTGAAAACATAAAGCAGAATTATTTTCTTGCATGCCACCATAAAATGATTATTAGGGTATTTATGCAATGAATCCAAATCCTAATCAAAATAATTCTTGTTCTCGTTTCCAGGAACCAAATGTTTGCAGTGAGATTCTGCTGCTGCACTGACGGATCCATCTGTTCCTTTTTTTTAACGCATCTTTACCAAGATTGCTGAGAGACTTCTATCCGAACGTTTAACGATCTGAATGTTTCAGTCGTTGACGTAAAAAAGTTCTTATGGCTGAAGAGCAGCTTCATCGTTATCATACTATATGACAGGCTAGGATGTGATGCTATGGCTAGCATAGCAACATGAAAGAGAAGCTACTGCTTTAAAACCTTGGAGGTAAATAAAAATCACCTCTAAAGGAATTAATAAAGATCCAACAAACAGAATTAGGTCTGATTTTGTTGCATCAAATGAGAATCAGATACATTTTTGACTAGATAATGAATAAATTTACATCTATCTCATTCTAACAACTTATTTTTAATGTTTTAATATGGCCTGGTGGCTAATCTGTGAGTATTAACAGAAATAAATTCAAAGTTTTTGTGTGCCTTTAATCAACCTTTAAGTAGGTTTAGCTCTTACTCCCACTAGAAACACAGAGAAGATTCAAAATAAGTTGGGAAATATTAATGTGTGAGTTCTGCTGAGCAGAGGGGGCATTTCTTTAAGACTGGCTCAATCGCTAAAACAATACCAGCAAGTCGTTAATCTAAAAGTGAACTTTCTAAAGTATTTAACTGGTTTAAAAGTACATTTTCCTTCATTTATTTTCTATCTGAAATGAGTTTGTCCTGCATTGAAATGAAGGGCACCTAATTCTTAATTGATCCCTTTTTAGCTCTCTCTCTCTCTCCGCTCGCCCGCCTGTCCTACATCGGGTCGTCATAATTGTAGGTGGGAGCCGCTGAGTACTGGTTCTGCTGCATCGCTCCCTGTGCGGCGCCCATGGCCGCCTGCTGAGCCGCCTGCTGGACGTGTGGGTTCTTCCAGGCCCCCGTGGTCCACTCCTCCTGGGCCTTACCCAGACTGCCGCCGCTGCCACGGTAGAAATTATGCACCTGGAAGGAGAATGAGATGATCGTTTACTAAGCTTTTAATAAGAGACACTGAGATATTTTAGACAGGGGTGCAGCTAAAGGGAGGAGCAGGGGGGGCACTGGACCCCCTATGAAGAGGTGGGAAAGATGCAAAAAAAAAAAAAATGTACTTAAGCCGGGCATAGACTGTACAATCGGCCCTTTTCTGGCTGATTCCCCAGTCGTGCAAGATTTAGATCAGGCCGACTTTCACCCTGATCGTGCGTCACGTAGCGCACAGGGGATAACGAGG